CCCCCCCCCCCCAACGGTCTCAGGCCCGTGGGTGCTGGCAGCAGCCACCGCAGGCCGAGTCCTCAGGGACCCGGGGAGAGGTCACACCTGATGGGGCTCGCTCCCTCTGAGGCCCCACTTCCCTGTCCTCTTGGCTGGTGGGGGCAGAGGCCGGGGCCCTGCTGGATGAGATGGGCATTGGCTGAACGAGGGTCGCTCTGCCACTAAGCAGGCTCACAGAGCCACAGACCTGCTTTCCGGGGTCTCTCCCGGCCATGCCACGGCCCCCTCTGCCAGAAGACGTCACTCTGGATTGCACTGTCTTCATAACCAACCCTCACAAACATCTGTGGGGTAAGTAGACACTATTAGTATTGCCTGACCGGTAATAACAGGCTGATGGAAAGGGCAATACAACGTGAAAACCCTGATCGAATCACACACACCCTCCCACCCTCACTGGAGATGGGAAATTCTCTCTCTCCTGCCCTCACAGAAGAGGCTGAGACAGCATCTGGCATCATAAGGCAATTGACCTTTAAACAACACAGGGTTTGGGGGCACCCACCCCCTCCCCACCCCACCCAGTCAAAAGTCCACGTATAACTTTTAACTTGCCCCAAACTTATCTACTAATAGGCTACTGTTGACTGGAAGCTTTACCCTACATAAACAATCCATTAATACATATTTTGTATGTTATACATATGATATATCATGTTCTTACAATAAAGTAAGTAAGAGGAAAGAAAATGTTATTAAGGAAATCATAATGGGGGGGTGCACCTGGGTGGCTCAGTCCGTTGAGCGTCCGACTTCAGCTCAGGTCATGATCTCACGGTTCATGAGTTCGAGCCTCACGTTGGGCTCACTGCTGTCGGCACAGAGCCTGCTTTGGATCCTCTGTCTCCCTCTCTCTGCCCCCTCCTCTCAAAATAAAATAAAAATTTAAATAATACTTAAAAATGGGTAAAATTGGAAAAAGAAAATCATAAGGAAAATACAGTTACAGTACTGCACTGTATTTATCCAAAAATACCCACCTAGAAGTGGATCTGCACAGTTCAGACCCGTGTTGTTCAAGGCTCAGCTATATAACAACCCCCATCTAACAGGTGCAAAACCTTGCATGAGATAGGGAACATAAGTTAACCAAAGTCACACAGTGAGACCACGGCGGAGCTAGGACTGGAATCGGTCGCAGGGGCCCTAGGCCAAGGACAGAAGGTTTCCAGGGAAGTGGCCCTGCGTGTTCCTTTCAGGACACTGTCCTTCATCGCCTTCCCTCCACCTCCATCACAGGACAGATCCACAGGAACAGCACCTTAGGGACTTGGGAGGACAGGCTCTCGGGGAGCTCCGTGGCCCCTCACACCCAGGGTGGGGGCTCCTCAGCCCTTGGCAAGCACCACCCACTCACACCAGAAGGGAGGAGGAAGCCCGGCTTTCCTGTAGCCTGTGAGACTGGCCCCTCCAAGCTGAGCCCAGGGCCCTGCGAGGTGGCGGCTTCACCTGGATATTCAGTCACACGGGCTATACTCTATGGTCATGTCGCGGCTTTATTTGTCACATTTCTGCCCTCTCTGTCCAGGCTGCATGCTCTGTGGGGGCAAGGATGTCGACTGGTACCATTCTTGCTCCCGGGGAGTGCTGGGCAGGTAAGGGAGGCTCAGGGACACCCACTGTTGGGTGAGACTTGGGGCAGGGGGTGAGGCAGGGGTCTGTCACGCTGACCACAGTGAGTGACTGTGCAAACCACCTTTTCTGCCCAAGCCTCAGTTTCCTGCTGTTCTTGGTCTGTGTATCTCCCGAAGCATCCAGGCCTGACACCCAGTAGGTGTTCCCCCCGCCTCCCTGCCTCTGCTAGCCCTGCCCCTTGAGCTGTGGAAGCACAAGCGACAGCAGGATCGCCTCACTCAGAGGACAGGGGGTGACATTCCTCATCTCTTGGCTGTCAGACACCCTGAGGGCAGGTGCCATGGCCTGGGGACACACAAAAATGAACTCACGTTATCTGTCTTTCTGCCCCAAAGGAGAAGCCATGGAGACTCTGAGCAGGAGGTTTTCTGCAGCCTGGCAGGTTGCCTAGGGGGTGTCCAGCCCAGGAGGGGGAGGTGGCCTTTGACCACCCCTTTAGGGCCACCCATGGGGTGATCAGAACCCTGTCAGGGATGGTAATGGGGGTGGAATCATACTGTGTCTCAGAGCGGGTACCACAGACCCAAGAGAAGACAGAGGGGTCCAGCTGCTCTGAAGTTTCAGAAAGGGGTGTGGACGCATCTCCCTCAGCAGGAACTAGTGAGGAGTCACCAGGGAACACAGAAGGATGAGACCAGGTGGATTTGAACATGCAAATGAGTAGGATGGGCCAGTTTACTGATCAGCCTTCCCCGCCTCCTCTTCCTCTGCTTCCTCCTCCTCCTCCTTGTCTTGGGGCGCCGAGGTCTTGGCCTCAGGCTCCTTCTCCCCCGGGGGCTCCACTACCGGCTCCTCTAGCAGGAGGCACTGCGCCAGCCGCTCCAGGTCACCCAGGCTTATCCTCTGCAGGCGCTCCTGGTGCTCCCGCTTCAGCAGCCGCAGCACCGCCTTGGTGTCCTGGGGCTCAAAGTGTTTGGCTAAGACCAGGCCCAGATGGTGCCACAGGGGCTGGGGCTGGTGGGCCTCCCCGGGAGCGGACTTTGCCAAGGGCCGCATGATGACATTGATGGAGGCGTTGGGCCCGATGCGGTAGTCGGAGAGACGCTTGTCATCGGCCAGAAGCTGGCCTCGGAAGAGCAGGTGCTGCTGCTCCTCTGGCACCTGCAGTCGCTCCGACACCAGCTTCTTCAGCATGGCCACACTCTCTTGCCCTGACACCTTTAGGCTGCATCGCTGGCCCAGAAGCAGCTTGACTGTGAGGAACAT